AGAGAGAGAGAGAGAGAGAGAGAGAGAGAGAGAGAGAGAGAGAGAGAGAGAGAGAATGGAGATCAAACTCTTATCAAATAGAGTGAAACATGAAATAGTACCAGATAATTACATATATCCTGTCCACCAGAGACCAGGGATTCATGCAAGCGCATGGAAACAGGTCCCAATAATCAATCTCGCAGGAGACAATCAAGCTGATGTATCAAACCAAATCCTCAGTGCAGGAAAAGATTTTGGGGTCTTTCGGGTATGAATGATTTTTCTTTGAAACTTAATTTGTTTAAAGTTCTTTCAGCGAAAAATGCACTAGAATCTCTCTCTCTCTCAAGCCATAGACACAACTGCCTAGAGTTTGATATAATACAAGGGAGGAAAATTACCGGGTGGTGGCATATGGCTTCCATCGTGTTGGTCTTCTCCCACCTCCCACGTACGTTTCTCCCTCAAAATCCCAAGCTAGATTAGGATTTGATTATATGTCTTCAATCTATCATTCAATTGACTTTAATCTCTTTTACCAACATTAGTATCAAGCATCAATATAGAATTCTAATGACGTTGGCAAGTGTTGTCATCGACGTTCATATCACTAAATGATCTCATGCATTTTGCAGTATATACAGTAGGGATTCTATCGGAATCACCCTATAGGAGTGGAGTGATCCATGATATAAATGGAAGAACTGTAATTTATAAATTAACCTTTTAACCTCTTGTTAATGCTATAGGTCACCCCTTTCTACAGTCATCACTCCAGTATATGTAGTGCTTTTTAAATTAGGTTTGCCTTTTTCGCTTTTTCCTTGAGGGCATAAAGTATTTGTATATATGCTACTTTTTTGAGTGTTTTCTTCTTACATGTTTTTTAACTTTGGGGATTCTAGCCTCTATTTTCTTATAGGCCTGTTAACTTCCGGTTGTGCTTGATTTCTCCTTGTCAATAAGTGACACAATTGCAAAACTCTAATTTAGAATCAGGGACACAATATCCGTGTTAGGTGTCAATCAGGCGCATGGACCCAATACAACGGTTCTATCACGGGCATACCAACGCAGTAAAAATTAACACAGTAGATTCGTATATGCTTATATATTGATAATTCATGTAGGTAATTAACCACGGAATTCCACAACAACTGATTGATGACATGTTGGCACTCGCCCAAGAATTCTTCGAGATGCCTGCTGAAGACAAAGCCCCCTACTTATCTGAAGATCCAACAAAAGAGCCCAGACTTTTTACGGGCCATCGTCAAGGGAATATAACTCCTGTTTGTTGGAGAGATTGCCTCTTTATCCCTACCTACCCCGTGGGAAAATACGAGCATCTTTATCCAGAAAAACCTAATAATTTAAAGTATTATATATCTATGCCTCCTTCCTTCCTCTTCTAAAAGCTCTACTTGTTAAAAACGGATATCTTGATAGAAGTAACTAATATGAATGTTGGTTTATATTATGTATCATTAGGGAGACGATGGCCAAATTCACACCAGAGGCCAGAGGTCTAGCAACAAGAATATTAAAGCTCATCAGTGTAGGCTTAGGACTGGAAGAGGATTATTTGGCTGGAAACCGCAGCGGAGGCCCTATGAAGATGCTTTTCAACTACTATCCTCCATGTCCAGACCCAAGCTTAACGTTAGGTATTCCTAGGCATTGCGATCCGGATCTCGTGACCCTCCTCTTTCAAGCGAAGGTCAGCGGGCTCCAAGTCCTACATGACGACCAATGGGTCTCTGTCGATCCTCTTCCGAGTGCCATTGTCGTGAACTTTGGACACTTATTTGAGGTAGTTCATTCGGTAATTCTAATATCTATTCAATTTAATAGTATGATCTTAGTAGAACAAAAGGGGATTCGCGGACTGACACTGTAATGAAATACAAGTTCGAAAAGGATTATAACTAACTGGTGAAGTTTTGTTTTTCAACGGAACAGGTTATATCTAATGGATTGCTAAAGGCTGTGGAGCATAGAGTTGTAACTAACCGGAATGTGGCAAGAACAACCGTCTCTGTGGGCATCAGATCAGCTGACGATTGCGTCATTGGTCCAGCTGACGCCCTTGCAAGCGACGATAGTAACCCTCCCCTCTACAGATCCTTCATGTTTCCAGAATTCGTGAAGGCCTATACGAGCAATACAACTTATGATAGAGAAATCAATATGGAAGCCTTTAAGATAAAAAACTAGAGATCCACACAACCATCCGTCAGAAGGATCCAGCCATGATTTTCTGTGATGTCTTCTGTCAATCCATGTTACTGTTATTTTGTGCCGTTTCATTAACGTTGTTTTGAGAAACATGTTGAATCTTATCAACTGCTGGGCTTTGTGTTGAGCAAATAAAACTGGAAAATTTTCGACTTTGTTTTTATAAAATTATTACTCTGGCAGGTGCCGATATAAAGACACACAGATATGCGCAACAGGTTCCTGCCCTCCAATTAGCCTCCTTATTAACACATCCTTCATTAAAAAATAAAAATATGACCAAGGTTATTTCTAATCGACTTTGTGTAAACATATACTAGTATACTCTCCATCTCAAATAATTTTGCACCTGAAGTTCACCAAACACACAGTATAAAACAATAGGCAAGGAATAAGTGTCGAGTATGTCCTGAATTTATGTCAGTTCTATCCTTATCAGGCCCCAGAAACGTGGCAACTCCTGTCCTAATCAAAACCCAAAATCTATGTTAAGCCTTGTCCTAATCAAACATCTTGAGACTCTCATCTAATTATTGGCGATCAGATACTGCTGTTATCAAATTGCCACGCAAGCATCTGTTAGCATGACATAGGAAAAACTATTTTTGCCGTAACATTGGAACACCTTAGTGGCGTCTGACCAGCAAAAAGAAAAGGAATTTAAAGCTGTCATATTTTACAACACTACCAACTGGTGGAGAAAGAGCTCATGACTAAAGATGTGTTTGCTTAGTGTTAGACGACAGCAGCTAGCATCTTCCACGTTGAGAATGATTAAGGCCAAAGTCGAGGTCTAGATGCTTGTTAAATGTTTTAGTACATTTTTTGCAGGACAAAAAGTTCTTATATCACTACAACAAAAATTATAAATTATGATACATTTTTTATTTCTATGCAATACTTATTTGTGTCACACAAATGAAGCACGGCACATACCAAAAGCGTGGGTAGAGTATGTATGGAGAGCGTCCTTTTACACATGTGAGAATGAATCGCATAATTTATGACACATACATGTGTCATCATAAGAATCATGACGCATATGTGTTGCAAAACTCACAACACATATACGTCAAGAGTGGTGACACATACATATACCACAAAACTCGTGACAAATACATATGTCAAGAATGATGACACATAGTTGTGTCTAGACCATAAAATTATAAAGAGTATCATCAATTTAATACTATAAATTTCCTAGAAGATTACCCGTCATAAAATTACTCTCACCAAAACACACTTAACCATAGAGTTGTTTGACTTATACACTATCATATATGTTTAATCATCAATATACTTAAAATATAAGACATGTTATTTAAGCGCATCAATAGATACTCACATAACCAATGTGAGACTATTAGTTTTTTTTCAAATTTATTTTGTTTTATATCTAATGATATAAATATATGTCATGATTTGCCATATTTTTTATGTGTCACTGTTGTTTAATCCTTTACAAATAAAATGATAATTTTATATGTGCCATAAAATAAGTGTAGACATATGCGACTTATGTTGTAGTGTATCCAATTTATAATCTAGCTAAGTCCTTTATATATATATATATATATATTTCTCTTTCCAGCATAAATGTTTTTACTCAAGCTCAGCAATAGTGTACAACTACCTTAAACAAATAATCTAGCTCATTAGATGCATCTTCAATTCCATTTCGATAGAGGGAGAAAGAGATTGGAGATCAAAACTCATCTCAGATGGAATGAAGCATGAAATAGTACTGGAGAATTACATATTTCCTCACAAGGCCAAGACTTCATGTAGGTACATGCAAACGGGTCCCCATAATTAGTCTCACAGAAGGCAATTAGGTAGAGTTCTCATACCAAATTCTTAGAGCAGGCAAACTTTTTAAAATTCCCTTTGGGGAAAATGTCTGTCCTTGTTTATTACCCTTCACTCCGGCAACCCTCTAAATACGAAACTAAATTACAGCTTTATATCATGGTGTTTTAGAACTCCTTCAGCCCCTCTAAATTGAGGGTGGCGTCTGGGAAGGGTTGGCCCACAACCCGCACTGAACCATCCTGCTTTGGGTTGGTCTTCACCCGACCCTTAGCATACGAGATGGGTTTTTATTGATTCAATATCAAAGCGGGTCGTGTACAGGTTTGATCTAAAACCTAGGCGTGAAACCAAATCCAACCTAGCTCAGATCAAACTTGAACTCAAATGGAGCTCAGAACCTAGCCCATAGCCAACACCCACAAAGATGTTAGTTATTAGTAACTAAACCAAGCTCAGCCCAGCTCAGATCGGATGGAGCTCGGAACCTAGCCCACAGCCAACACCCACATTGACGTTAGCCAACACCCACATCGACAATAGTTATTAGTAACTAAATTAACCAACACCCACATTGACATTAGTTATTAGTACTAACAATTAATAACTATCTAGTAATCTAAAATATTAATAAAATGGTTAAATGTGCATGTTTTTCAAACAAAGTTATTAGTAACTAACAATTAATAACTATTTAGTAATCTAAAATATTAACAAAATGGTTAAATGGGCATGTTTTTCAAATAAACAATTCGTAGCTCGAGTCAAAAATCTTCCTCAAGAAGGAACAAAACCCAACCAGTCAATCAAAATTCATTTAAATCAAGTTTTAAAAGAGATTCATAAGAATAAAAAATAAAAATAAAAGAAAAACAAAAATAGCGGTCAGGTTAACAAACCCGACCCCACTTAGATGGGTTAGGTCCGTGGGATGAGGTTGTGCTCTCAACCCGAACAACCAAGCCTTGGCCTAACACTATCTAAAGGTTAGCTCAAATCAACCAATCTCAGATCAGCCCGAAACAAGCGAGACCTATTCTAAATTCAAAACTAACTTTTTGTTATGGAGTTCACAATAAGGTTTGAGTTAGTTGATCTCAATTATCACTCCTAATTGGACACGAGGCTACAATTAGGGGTGCAAAACCATACCTATGTCCATGAATATATTTGTAACTATATCCATTAGATTAATTATTTGAGACTAATTTTGATACTGTTATGGTAATTTACCATCTAAAGATGAAGATACCGAAAGATTATCTGCATAGGCTTAAAAAGCCATGGACCAAACCAACTTAGAGGCCTGAAAGCCCAGCCAAGGGCAAGTCTACCGGCAAGCCGAGCAGACAAGTCATCTTTTGACCAATGGTCATCATTACCGACTCGAAGTGCGGGATCAGTCAGTCCCTCATAATTAAGACGACTCATCGAGCAGACGTCTCGACCATACACTCGACCCGAAGCTCACTCGCCTGTCGGGTTGGAAAATCATAATGACAACTCACGAACCGACCAGCCTCAACTAAGGGGATGAGATCCAGCTAAGCTCGCTTCAGATATCAATCAGAACTACAGTATTGATCAGTCCCATCAAGATCTCCGCTCTGACAAATCCTGTGCATAAGCCGCTTATTCTACTCACAAGTCACTTCCCAGGGATCGCTATGATGCTCCCATGGGCTCAAATGACTTCCCCTCCAATCACCAGCAGCCATCTGGAGGGGGAAGGATGACCAAGCAGCTAGCCTATCCTCTTCCCTGCCTCATCTATCAAATCCAGGATACTGAGAAGATATTTCTCTCCTATACTCGAATGACTTCCCTTTTAATCATCAGTCGACGTCTGGAAGGAGAAGGATGACTCAGCAACCTACCTGCTCACCCCTCAACCGCCTCCTGTGCATAGTCAAAGCTAAATGGTCAAAGACTCAGAGGCGATGGGTTATAAAAGGAGGGAAAGAAGGTAAAAGAGGGGGGGATTTTTTCTGCTACTTCTTCATAAAAGCTATGAATTTACCTTTGCTAAAAAGAACTGATAACTCTCAAAGAGTACCCTCTAAGGACCTCAATGGCCCAGGGACTCTCCCTCAAACCCCACTCAAGCTTACCAGCTGACTTGACCGTCGGAGGTACCACGGAGGAAATGAGCCCCGCCCTCCCACAGATTTCTTCTTGCTTGTGTAGAGGGATCAAGAATTCCTGTCTAAGGATAGGGCATAAAGTCGGAGGAGGAATTGGCCCCATCTCTCATCCTCTCCCTATTCTCCGCTAGTGCGAAGACCAGAACTGCGACCCCCTCGACTGTGTGATATCAGACATCAACAGATACGTTATTCAAATCTATAACCAACATAATATAGTTACAGATATGGTTATTGTTTGGTGTGACAGTTGATTTTTTTCATTGTGCAACTCATTACAACTTCAAGTGTTACAAAGAGTTTAAAATTTAATCTTTTTATAAGATCTCCCCACACAAAAAAATAACAAAAATTTTAACTCTTCTCAAACAAACGCAACGGACGTTTATCTCTCGCTGCTTGTGTGTGATCTTAGCCTGTGACGGGCACGTTGATATCCATGGACTACCAAACGATTAGATCAATCTCGAGTTTTGTTGATTCACGAAGGAATCAAGAAACTGAAGTGATTATCTCAACAACCGTGAGATAACCACTCTTCTCGAGATCGCAACTAGGTACGATCTCAAGGGAAGGAACCGAGAACTGTAGATCTGACGAACTCTTCTTCTTTATACCAAAGAACTCGATCTGATCTCCTCCTCTTCTCTAAAATTCGTGCTCCTTCAGTCTCCAATTCAGCAGGGCTTCACCGAGGCTCGAAAATTAGATCTGTACAAATAAAGGCCCTAGGGCTGTATTTATAGGCCTCAGGAGCTCTGTTTTTGGATAAGAACCACTGATTCACTCTTATCCTTAGTTATAACCACTTTATCACGTTTTTGGATGATATTAGATTAGTTAAAACAAATTCAGGTGGTTAACGGTTGAAAACCGCTCAAAAACCGTAAAAAATGCTTTTTTGGGCCTACGGACACCTGCAGTGTCTCGGCCATGTCCGAGACACCACGGGTGTCTCGTCCTTGGTCGATACACCTTGGGTGTCATGACCTTGTCCAAGACACATGCGGTGTCTCCGCTAAGGTCTGGGGCACTGTTTTGCAGATCACGTTTGTTTTCGATGTATCTTCGTCGTCCGAACTCGGAATTGCGCGATTCAAAGTACGAAGGAAAGCCGACGAGGACATCTACAAGCTCCCATTGTTGAATCACATGTGTAGTAGATGGGACACGAGGGGCC